GAGTGAAATTTTGGAAGAAAATTCTCTCCCTTGGCCACCACAGTCATGGCCAATTGCAAACCGGCCACCTGCGTCCTGGCTGAGGGAGGCATTGCTGAAATGCCCCGGGGAGCTTGGGGTGGGGGCACCGCCTGCAGCCGAGTCCCCTCCGGCAGGCTGAGTCCCGTGGGACTGTCTCCCGAGGGCATCCTCTCCTTCGATGCTTTGGGGATGAATCTCTGAGGTGTTTGCAATTCAAAACCACACATGGTGAGTTTTCTCCAGTTTCAAGTTCATTTGAAATTAGGCAAATATTCCTCCTTGGGGAGGATCCTGCCAGAATCCCTCCGTCCAGCCCACCCTTCCCGAGAGCGAGAGCCTGCTTTCCCCACGGAAGTCCCCAGGGACCGGAGCCGCGGCACCACAAGTTATTCTAACGCAGACATCCCTTTAAACTAAACTTTTACCATCTGTTGTGTCCTTTAGTAACAAACGCAAAGGAGCATAATTCTGGGTGGCACCCTAAGGTGGGCGGCTCACAGCCGGGTGAGGCTCCTCACTTCCAGACGCACATCAGGGGGGCTGCTGTCCCCTGACCCCCAGCCGAGCCGGGAGCTCGGGCCAGGCTCTCTCTTCGCCGTGAACCGTGCGAGGGCTCGGAGCCCGAGCCGGGCCGCGCCGTCTCAGAAGGCACCTGGAGAATTAGGCAAATGCGGCCGGTGGTCAAAATGTAATGAGATTTCTCTGCAAAAAATAAAATCTCTTAAATACACGGTGGGTTCTTTTCAGCAGTTTTCTAATTAAATTTCCCCGTGAAAGTCGGGCAGCCTGGCCCAGAGAGTGCAGCAGAGGCTGCTGGGCGAGTCGCGCCGCCGGCCGGGTGCTGGAGACCCCCGCAGCCCTCGGTCCCCGGACGCTGCCCCAGCTCACACGCCTCCTCCTTCCAGTCCAAGGCTGCCAACGATACTTGAGGGCCTACTGTGTGCTCCAAGGCCCTGCTTTTTTTTAACCTTCACCGGAGGATATTTTTTCCATTGCTCTTCAGAGAGAGGAGGGGAAGGGTAGAGAAAAGAGAAACATCGATGCGAAAGAGACACACTGATTGGTTGCACTGGGGATCGAGCCTGCAACAGAGGTACATGCCCTTGGCCAGAATCGAACCCGGGACCTTTCAGTATGCAGGCCGATGCTCTAACCACTGAGCCAAATCGGTTAGGGCCCAAGTGCCCTGCCCTTAACCTGCAGTCAGAGGAAGCCTCCCCCGAACTTGCCAACCGTCTAGAACCTTCTGCACTCCTGGGAGACAAAGCTGGTCCCTCATAAGCAGCAAGCCTTGACCATTTTAGGCTAATCGCTCAGTTCCCTTCTCTCCTCAACAGAGTTTGTTCTCTTTTAAGCCGTTCAGTGAGGAACAATCTTAGCCCAGGAGGCTGAGGAGGGGCTTTCCTCTCTCTAATTTAGACCTGCAGCTTTTGCCCCGTTTCCCTGGTGACCAAATCTTGGCGCAAACTCTCTATGGGTGGAGCAGAGGTAGATCTCAGCCATGGAGAACCACCTTGCTGGGCACCAGCCCCCTAGGAATGGAGCCAGGTCCCCAGAAAGAAATCTCCATGAGTCCCCGCTTGGCTGCCTGGCCAGGGCTGGTCAGGGTGGCTGTTCTGTCTGAAGGACGTTACCTGGTAGTCAGCAGGGAGACGAGCGATGAAGAGCGGGTGGAGCCTTGTCCTGGGAGGCCAGGACCCAGCCTGTCACCTCCAGTACGAGGAGGCAGGGATGGCTCTGCTGACATGAGCGAAGCAAAGTTCTAGGGCTTCTGGGGTTTGAGGGGACAGCACCGGAGTGGCATCTGTCCCCAGACCCAGGCCTGAGGCCTAGTTTGATGTGGGCCACTCAGGACAGAGCCAGGGAGAGCCCTGCCTGACCGAGGAGAGTGAGGCAGTCAGAGAGGGGAACCCAGAGCAAAGATGCTCTTTGCAGAATGTGTGTGAGTGTGTGCGCATGTGAATGAGTGTGTATACATGTGTGAGTACATGTGTGAGTATGTGTGCACATGAGCATGTGTGTGTGTACACGTGAATGTATATGTGTGTGCACATGTGAGTGCACACGAAAGTATGTGTATGTGTGTACATGTGAGTGTGTGTGCACGTGGGTGTGTGTGCACATGAGTGTGTACATTGAGTGTGTGTGCACATGATTGTGTGCTTCTTCTCCAAAGGCTGCCACCCAGCACCTGAGCAGCCACAGGCTTGCACTGATCTACACAAGGCCTCTGTAGTGAAAGCCTTACTTCCTCTGACCATTAGGCAAAGGGCGCTCTCGCGCAGGCAGGCCACTGTTAGACAATCAGTGATGGCTTGTGTCCTTGCCCCCAACTGGTGCTCTCAGTGGGGGGGACTCCAGTTATGTGCATAAGTGCAGCAAGAACAGTGCTGGCCAGACAGGGCTGTTTGGAATTGCTTTGTGGAGCATCTAACCAGGACTCTCGGGTTGCACGGTGCCTGTTCCCTTCAGGTGTGACCAGGTCTTGTAGTTGACTGTTGAGTCCCACCTGCTGTATCTCAGTCTTGACCACCAGGCCCACATCTGTGCATGGTGTTGGCTTGCATGTGTTGTACTTTGTGTTCGCAGCGTCCAGGGAGGACAGGGGAAACCAGGTGGGTGGTGTTCCCCTTGAGCACCCTGCTCTGGAAAGCTTTCAGGAGACTCCTGGGGACGCTCGCCTGACCCTGGAGCGCTTCTCGGAGGAATCTCCCGAAGAAATAGTGGTCTCTTCAGGTTTGCTGTCTCTTTGAGTCAAGTTCTCAAAAAAATCAGTTTTATTAAGATTTCCAGCCCAGCCGGGCGTGGCTCAGCGGTTGAGCGTCCACCTAGGATCCAGGTGATCAGGGTTCGATTCCCGGTCAGGGCACATGCCCGGGTTGTGGGCTTGATCAATGACTCTCTCATCATTGATGTTTCTATCTCTCTCTCCCTCTCCTTTCCTCTCTCTGAAATCAATAAAGATATATTAAAAAAAAAAAATTTCCAACTGAGTTACCAATAAATAAATAAAATAGCCCTGGCCAGGTGGCTCAGTTGGTCGAGCATCGTCCCAGGCACCAAAAAGTCGCCGGTTCGATTCCTGGTCAGGGTGCATACAGGAGGCAACCGGTCAATGTTTCTCTTTCACATTAGTTTTTCTCTGTCTCTCTCCCTCTTCCTCTCTCTCTAAAATCAGTAAAAACATATTTTTTAATAAAAGAATAAAATGTTAAGAAACCTCTGTGTTCTTGAGGGTTTCCCCCTACATACAGCTTTTAAATCTATTTATCAGTTCTCCTGTTTTCTGTTTTGACTCAGGGGTTTCTGCGTTTGTCTTTGTTGGCTGCCTGCCTGTCCTCTGCTTTCACCCCTCTCCCTCTGGAGCCCAGCGCTCAGCTCGCTCACTCTAATTCTGTCTCTGCCGTCAAGCATGTCCAGTTAAGGGTTTGCTGTGGCTCAGCCTCTGGCCCAGTTCCTTGAGTTTCGCTACATAGTCATCTCTTTGTCCTTACAATATTTAAACGGCCTCTACGGGCAGCTTTGATTCCTACATAACCTCATGGTTATTTCAGAATGTTTTTTAAATTCCTGAAAGTCTTTAAGTGGCAGCATTAAATTTTAATTGCATTATTCCAATAAGAGGTCCTGCTCGATTCTGCTTAGTGGAAATTTTTTGAGGTTTGCACTGTGGTCCATCATGGTCCCTGGGTGTTGATTTAAAGTGATGTCTTCTGCCCGGCGGGGCGTGGCTCAGCAGTTGAGCGTCGACCTAGGATCCAGGCGATCGGGGTTCGATTCCCGGTCAGGGCACATGCCCAGGTTGAGGCCTGCAGCTGATCAATGACTCTCTCATCATTGATGTTTCTATCTCTTTCTCTCCCTCTTTTTCCCTTCTCTGAAATCAATAAAGATATATTTTTTTAAAATAATAATAAAATAAAAAAAAATAAAGTGATGTCTTCTAAAGGCGTGTTCCCAGTGAGCGCCCGTCAGTGAAACTGGCCACTGCGGTCATTCCTTCCCATTCTCCGCAGCTCCCTTACACTTCCCCGTGCTCAGGGAGGCCGGTGACCTTCCACGGCGCCCATGACTGCGTTTCCCTCCTTCGCCCCTGACCATCGAGAGCTCCAGCTTCCTCCAGACCAAAGGCGTGGGTCTTTGCTCCACTGGTGTCCTCTCTGCTCCCCAAGGACTTACACTCACTTAATTATCTGGGTGACAGTAAAATTATGTCTGGCGTAACACTTCCCACTCACCCCCACCCCACAAGGCAGACTCTGGGGTCCTCTCTGCTCCTGAGGTTTTCTCCGAGAGTCTCAGTCTTTGCCAAGTCACCTGGGATTTGGGAGCCAGATCACTATTATTAAGTTGTTTTTTCAACAATATGCAGTCTTTGTGAAAGTATATTGATGTTTGTGTTTGGCTCTGTAACCATGTTGACAACTTTCAGTGTCAAATTTCTGTGTCTAAACAGGGTCCATGTCATGCCGGTCAGTGCCCCGGGTTTGAGCCCTCACCGTGGGTCCCCTCTCGGGGACTGACACACCTTCCAGGGCCTCTGTCCAGGAGCAGGGAGACAGGATGTTTTCTTGGTCCTTGTGCGTCCAGACATGTCCGTTCTCTTCCTGTGCAGATGAGAACTCGGGGCATAAATGTGCTGGGTCCCCACTTTCTCCCCTCAGAGCTCCATGGAGGCTGCTGTTTGCTCGCCATGGTCCTTTCTGAGGTCTGATGGTGGACGTTAGGAGCGTCTGCGTCAGGGCCTTGACTTCGTCTCAGCAGAGTCCTGTGTCCCATGCTCCTGAGGACTTGTGCATGTGGTGTCCTGTCCCTTCCTGTCACCTGGGGCGCTCAGCACCTCAGGCACTGGCGGCCCCTCGGAGATGGGCCGCGTGGATGGAGGGCTGGCTGAGGCCCCAGGTTGCGGGAAGGAAGGGGGTGTGTGCAACGAGGAAGCGCGGCCGCTCCTGCAGCTGACTGTCCTCTGCCCCCTCCAGATCCGGTCCGACAAAGACAATGACATCCCCATCCGGTACAGCATCACGGGCGTGGGTGCCGACCAGCCGCCCATGGAGGTCTTCAGCATCGACTCCATGTCGGGCCGCATGTACGTCACCCGGCCCATGGACCGGGAGGAGCGGGCCTCCTACCACGTGAGTGTCCACCAGGGGCCCCCCGTGCAGGGGGCTCACAGCTGAGCCTGCGCGGAGCCCCGTGGGGCCGGCACCACCCCCGGCTCCTCACTCGGGTGGGGGGAGGGGGGACTTGCGCCTGTACCTTCTCCCAGGGGAGGGGGCGCAGGAGAGCGGCCGGTCTAAGAGGCCACAGCCCACGTGGTCACCCAGGTGCTCTGGGTCCCCGGTGGGGTCACGTGGCAGCTGCGGCCCACGGGCTCCAGCCCTGGAACAGGCCCTGCAGCCTCCTGCCTCCTGCGGGGGGGGTCGCGAGGAAATGGAGGCACAGGGCTCCCTTGAAGGCCGTCCCCTCCTTTCCTCTGGGCCCCGCTGAAGCTGCTGTGCCGGCCGAGCGGAGGCCGGGGCACGGCGGGGGCACTGGCCGCTCGCTCGTGCTCTGCTCACGGCCGCTGGATGAGGGTCGGCATCAGCTGGACGCGCAGGGCTGCAGCCCGAGGTCAGGGCGG